ACGTGTCATACCAACATGATAGCTGTGGTAGCATACAACACGAAAATAGGCAGCTTAGTTCCTTGCAGTGTGTCAGCACATTATACAATACAGCGTATTTTGGTACATTGTACGCAGAGCATATAAATTTGATCAGTGGTGATTTGTTTTCCAATTTGAAGATTTTGTTGCACTCTTAAGTTGATTCCATTGTTGCATTACTGCACAGTGCATTCACCATAAATATAACACAAAATCAACGATGAAATACAAATTTTCCAATGTATTTTCAAGTACAATTTCAGTTATTCGTTCTTCAGTATTTTTATTTTGATATTTTCTGTATCCGAATGGAATTGCCCCATAATAAGAAGATTGTGAAGAAAATGTCAAATATTAAGTTATTAGAAATTCCACTACAGCTCCAAAAAATGGTCTCTGGATACTGAATTACATAATGGATTATGACTTCTAAATAGAATATCTTGACTGCTATCCTAATAGACCATTTCTCATTCACTTCGAGATCCCGTGTTATGCGTGAAATCAGACGCGAAACAAGACAAAGGTCATAGCGTCGTAGTGGCGTCAAAACATACTCGTGATTCGACAAACGCAAACGAATGTTTTTTATACACCTAACTCCCGCACCTGGTGGGCAATTACCGAGGGACTTTGCAACATCTCCAGACACTTTCCAAAATAAATAATATGCGGGTTGCGGGCTTCAAGTTGCGGGTTGTGGGTTTTACATTAAGCTTCACAAATAAGCCTCTAGTAGTTTATTAGTTTTATTTATACCATTACAGCGTATTATTGTCAACTGCACATTTCACCACATAGGCCTACGATAACTTTTTTTTTGGTCCAACTCAGTGTCTCATTTTTCCATTACGATCATGCATATGTTTCAGTTTATCCTGTCTGTCAACATGCTCCACTATAAAGAACACCTAACTAGCTGCATTAAAATGAAATTCAGTACACCAACACCTAGTTAAAAGATTTATATTAAAGATTTTTAGCTTTATCGAACGAACTATAAACAGCTTAGTGGTTTATACACTGCGTGCAGTGTAGTGGTAAATTATTTACGTTGATGGCGCACTTCATGTACTCCACATAGGACCGGTAACATTTCGCCCAGCATTGTCAACGTGATAGTTTTATATGGGACAAATTACTTTTACGTTTACGTATGTTCCGTGGTGCCGATTAGTCTAATTAATGTTTGTATTATATTTTCTATAAAGCCTTGAAAGCCGCAGCCCGCAAAATAGCGCATCCGGACACTTTCCCAGACGATCCAGGGACCGTTCTGGACGCAATAAAGTTACATACCCGCCTACGTGACAGTTAATCAAAACAACGGACCAGAGTTTCAGATGGATTCAACTATTACACCTGGTAAGCGTCCAGCCAAACATTCATCAAACAATCATGTTTTACTCATTGTTGATATCGGACAATTTATTATTTCATGCATACATATGCATGTTCATTTAATAAATTCTATTTTGAACGTTTCAAGAAAATAATAAATGATACAAATATTTAAAAACGTCCCTAACATATAATGAAATTACCCGAATTATCCTCGTGAGAACAGTTTAGTCTTGAATGCAGTTTCTGATTTTGAACAATTATTGCTATTATATCAAAGCATCTAGACGAAGACACTGAGATGTCGATTATTTGCCTCTTGTGAATGATCGCCGAGGAAGTTGGACTAGCGACGCCAACGGTTCAAGGGATTGTGCGGCTTTTCTGTCGCATCGGTTAGACCTCGGTCCGTACACAAGAAATCGTTGAGTTTATCGAATTTCGTCTAAGATATGAAGGATATTTGAAACTGGTATATAGTGACGCATGGAGCACCATGAGTGGCGGTGTGGAGGTCAAACTAAGTAGAAGATTTTAAGAAAGATTGACTGGGCGATGAGTGTTCTGGCAAACAGGCAATGGAACATGCCGCTTATGCGAGAAATTATTAATATCTCAACAAACTACCAATCAAAGAAATTTACATTTATCATTTCTTGTTAATATTCATTCCCAGTTTTATGTTTGTATCATATTTCTTCCAAGTGTTACACAGTAATGTTTGTTGTATCCACAAAGCAATTGAATAGGCCAACTACCCCCTCGTCCCTCGTGGCCACACATCTGAGGCAATAACACGTCCGGTGTTTTGATTAACTGTCACGTGAGCGAGTATGTAGCTTTATTGCGTCTATACCGGTCACTCGAATGTCTAGTAAAGTGTCTGGGGATGTTGCAAAATCCCTCAGTAATTGCCTACTATACCGGATGAGGGAGTTAGGTGTATGCACAATCCCTCTATCTATATCTTGCGCCCGCTGTAATGTTTAATGAAGTAAGGGTGTATCAAACAAACAATGCACAATTATG